ATATATAGAGACTATTTCCGATTAATTTTAATAATTCTTAAGTGGTCCTTCATTTATTGGGGGGCACTGTATATTGATTTTGATATTTATTTTTTTTTATCACTTAAATAGTTTTACCATAGGTAAGCTAGCATTAAATTTATTGGCCAATTAGTCACATAAGAGATGTTGTTAGTTTCTTCATGTATAAATATTAATATTTTTTATCAGTTAATAAAGTATCTACTTAAAAAAAAAAAAATTATTTTAGTTTCTATATATAAGTTTTGATATAAAAAGATTATTGACTTTAACAATATTGCTAAGCAGTTTTTCTTTGTCTTTTTGTAAAATGTATAAATCAATCTACTGAAATCCCAGTAAGAGGGATTGAAATTTAAAGTTTTATTACGCAACTGATTATATAATGATCATGTGACATAGATTATATTTTTCATATTTTTCTCTTACGGTAACCAATACTCAAATCCTTTCTTTTTATTAATTTTATTATGTAATATGATTTATTTCTCAGCCGCATAGCGTGGGTTACGTATTTTGCAAAATAGAAAATAATGTATAAATTTATGTTTAACTTTAGTGTTTATCGTTTACAGCGCGACCTAATTAACTACACTCTATCAAACTTCGCACATGAGCCTAATGCTTATAAGTTACATAGCTACTCAGAATTTTTTCGTCCCAATTTTCCAACTTTTGCGACAACAATGACGCAACGTGATACTGCGTTGCGCACCTGTGCCGTATTTTCAATTCATTAAATATTGCAGAAAAAAAAAAAAAAGTTTATTTGCGAACATTACCTACCACGAGAAGCAGCTATTGTCACCTTAAATTATTCATGAATCTAGGACATTGTTTTAGTGAAAAGTTTCACATAAATACGCAATGCAAGCTACAGTATAATTGCGTATGCCATTAAAGAGCATTACTGTTACTCGATATCTCTAACGTTATCTCAGCTTTCTATTAACTTACTATCTTAATTACATTATAGAGATATTACACATAAAAAGCATAAAAGTCTAGTGTTACATTTATTGTTATTGTACAATCAGTTATGCATGTATTCATTTAATAATGAAATTTACGTAAATGTTTTGATGATTCACACAAACTAAACATTATGTCATCAATTACTTTCACTAAGTGTATCAATGTTAAAAGAATGTAACTTTAATGCGTATCTTCAGTAGATACGTATACTGTAGATGGACATCTTTTTTGAGGTGAACCCTTTCGAAGAACAATATGTCAAATAGCCTTATAATATTTTTCTTTCATATATCAACAAAAAGCTTGAAACTTATATTTTTAATAATAAATTCCAACTTACATATTGTATTTATTTAATAATAAATGCATTTTTCAATACTATCAATAGCATAAATAAATAATCATTTAATGTAATCTCTTGATTTAATATATGGAATGCTTACATTAAAGAATATTCAAGTACAAATAAACAAAATAAAGGTTTTCTTTGCTAAAAAGAATCATCATAAAATCCCTTTCAATAAAAAAACAAAGAGACAATTATTAACAAAAGCATTAAGCTCAACACAGGCTTGATATGGGATGCTGATGCTTTTGCACTAGTTGTTGTTACTAAAACGACATTGGGAATTAATTTATTTGCCAAAAATTTTTTGTAAATAATCGTTACTTCCTGAAACATACCTGCTGCATTAGACGTGATACTCGATGTAGAAGATGCTGTTGTACTTCCTGAAGTTGAAGTGTTCGTTGAAATTGGAACGTTACTGGAAACCGATGGTGTACTGGTTAGAGATGCATCGGATGTAGTGGATTCTGAGAATCCACCAACAATTGTAGTGGAGGGGCCGTAAATTGTGATTCCAGCAGGAATAGTGGTATGAACTTGCGCTGTGGTTAAAGTTAAGGTAAATGTGCTGCCTACAATGGTGTAGGTAACTAGGGAGAATTACGAGGAGGAGAAATTAGATAAATTTTTGGGGCAGAGAACCAGGTATATTTTATTAAGATACCATAGGGCTGATTTCCGGTGACGGTAGTGGACGGACCATAGACCACAACTCCTGAAGGAATCTCACTAGCAGGCGGGATGGAACTTTCAGTGGTGGTGAAAGTAAAGTCAGGCCCTACAACAGTGTAGGTTTCTAAGTTCAAAGAAGGAAATACGACGAAATTAAAGCAAATAGAATAACATTAATTCTATAAAAAAGTATATAATGCATTTGATACGTGCCTCCATTCGCCTCGAACGCTAATAATGCAATGAAAAGCAAAGTCAAAAAAAATAACCGAACGTTTATATGAATCATTATGGATGTTATAATGCGCAAGGCATAAGAATAATATGTGAAAGCTTCTATCGCCTTTTTTATAGATACTTTTATTTGTCACACTAAATTTTGCTATACTTTCATATAAAGCCTCATATGACAAAAATTGCAACTTAATTTAACAAGAAAAAAATTATACAGTATACTGTAACGGAAAACAGGAATCTGTATCTAAAATAGTAGAAATTCACGGTTTTCACTTGACCGAATTCCATTTTATTAACTCAAAATTTATATTCGTTTATACGTGTAATTGTTATTAAATAATATTACTAAAGATAAGCAATAAAAATCTAGATAAAGAAAAAAAAATAAGAAAACAATAGGAATATATTTTTCACAATATTTCACTTATCGTTTATGACATGCATAAAGATTTATCATGTGACTTTCTTCGCGTTTGCTTGCCATACTCATTATATATCTTTCACAATGCGTTCTTTTATTCCTACATCATTTTTCTCATTGATTTGATGTTCCTATTTACAGTAATAATATAGTGCCCGAATTATTGGGCTGCAGGTAGAGTCGAGGCTTCCGAAACTATTAGTTAATAATTAATAGTTATTAACAATTAATAACAATTAGTAATTTTTCATTATATCCTGCATATTTTTTAATTATTATAATTGTATATGAATGTGCATACAATTATTATTATTAAATATATAATATATGGGCTGATACACAGCAAAAACATGCTTTGAAAGGTTCTTACAAAAATTGAAATTTTTAGTGAATTATACTCCCAAGAACGTCTTTTATGTGATAAAAGTTTGGATATATACAGTATTAATATATTATAATTGGTACAGTCTTGCGCTCAGTTTTTTTATTTATATGGCTCGATATATAAATTTAAATTGTATCTCCAAATAAGGATTTTGTCTCAAAGCATGGTTTTGCTGTATATAAACCCATATAATTTTTGTCATGTTATTAAAATTTGCAACTTTGAAAATGGCATTTAAACAAAAGTTTGGAAGAAATCAATAATTTGGCAATGATTTATTGAAGGCAAAAAATACAACAGCACATATTACTTGGCCAAATGTACTTTTTGTTAACACAGTTGTCCTGATGAATCCTTAAAGATAATCAACATTTATTAGTAAGTTGAACTAGCATTCATCAAGATAAAAAAATCAATATTTGAAATTTTTTAGAAAATTCTAATATTTAAACAATCAATAACAATTAAATAACCAAAATTGACTTATCTTGTGAAGAAAAACAACTATTAATTAACAGTTACTTAGAGAATTAATATCAGCTAACATATTTTTATCATTTGTAAAAAATTTGAATAATCAAACTATTTTAAATTTTGAATTCTAAATACAAAC